GGTGGTGTTGCTACTGGCATAATTCAGCTGCGGGATATGTTCGTATGGAGGGTTCTCAAAGTCCATCAGCTCGTCCTTGATGCCCTGGCTGGGCAAGTTCTCGGAATTCCACCGAGCTACAAAGTTGTTGGCCACATCTTTCGCTGCAGGCCCGTGAATTCTAATATGACCGTCAATCCACCCCTGAAACTTGAACGTGGTGCCACTCGCATCGCGAACAGCCGAGTTGTTATGATAAATAGTATCCCATCGGTCGTTTGCAAGATCCAATCCGCCCACATAAGCCACTGGTAGGTCCTCGCTGTTTAAAGGGTTGTCGGCCACGATAACCAAAGTTTTCTGATGATAAGACGAGACAACAGAAGGTAGACGGTCGTCAAACAGAAGCACCGCTTTGGCGCCGTTAATTGGAGAAGCTGGGATGGCGTTGATGACATCGCGAGCCTTGAGGTTAAAGGATCTGTACTTGAGGTTCTGCCAGTTGAGAATGTTGACATTACCTCCACGGTTTACAACGTCAAAGAACACTTTGCCAACTCCTGTCTTGGCACCTGTAGGGTCGATGTCCGGCTTCATCGGGACGAGAGCTGTTGCGTAAGCCGAAAGCAAAACTCGATCGCCTGCCTTCGTCTTTGTCAGGTCATTGTAAACCGCGTCGTAGAATTCTTTCGTTGCGGTGAAGGATTTCACCGCGTTACCTGTCGTGTAGACCGCTAAATCGCTGCGTGGAACGCCACCCCGCGAGTCGGTGATCTCCTGTTCAGTGAGGAACCAGTCTGTGGCTTTGAGGAGCGGTTGTCGGGCTTTAATATTTGTTCCATTGGAAAGGTCTGCTTCGGCTGCTGTAGAATCATCGCTGCCAAACAAAGACTTCAGCGAGAACGCCGTCGCACGAGACGTAGATATTGCTACTGCGTAAATGAAGAGGAGCACAAGCATGCGACTTGTGTGGTTCCTGGTCGAGACCAAGATATTCAGTAATGCGATTAGTTAGTAATTGAAATCTTGCCAGTTGTGGCTAGTGGCAATCATCATTCAGGTGATTTTATCGCGAAGCAACCGGGTCTGTAGTCTACACTCTACAGTGTAGAGTCTATGATATGTACGGTACAGTAGAGTTAAAGTTGATTCACAGTGTCGCCATAGGATCAGGTTCTGGTCAGCAGTGTTC